TCATTATCATCTTCAAAACTAGCAAATCTTGTTCGGACAATTGTAGTATATTTACTAAAACTGCCGTCAAAAAATACTTCTTTTAACATATTATAAGTGTTTACTTCCTCAGGGGTAAGTCGTTCACCAACTACAAATAAGACTTGTTTTATTTTTTTTCCTTCGCTTCCTTTTCATACTTTCGATATTTCAGATAGTACTTGTGCCTGGGTTAATCTAGTATCACCAATTCCGATGCTATCAACTATTTGGTAAGTTTCTATTTTATATTCTTTTCCTTCATGTTTGAAATCGAACTCTATTTCTTGAATCTCTTTAGTCTTACTGGCCGAGTTTTCACTTTCTGCCGAGGCATTTTCCTTCCCGCTTAATACATTGGCTAAGGTTGATTTACCACCTCCGGTTCTACCAACTAGTAATATTATTTTCTTTTCTGTCATATTTTTTTTATTTTTTGTAGTTAATTTTCAACAGTCTAACTATTAACATACTATAGAATACCAAATAAGGAATAATCCTGTGTGACGATGCTTTACTTATTTGTGTTGTCTTGTTATTTATTGTCTTCATCAGAGTCCACTTATATAGAAACTTTTTATGAAAAGCAATCTATATGTTATAATTTTATATAAAGTTAGCCAGCAAACATTATTATTCTCAATAATAAACACATAACAGTTGTAGAAAAAATAAATCCATTGATCTAAGATTTGAAAAAGTTTATTTAACTAGGGCAGCAGATTTTTGTTAGTCCAAAAGAAAAAGAGTTGATAGAAAATTCAAGTTCACTACTTATTATAGAAAAAAAAGAGAATTCAAAAGTATTATAGTAAGGAATTTATTATTTTTTGTAATTTTTAGTAAACTCCCCCATCTCTTCACAAGTCAAATCACACCCTAAATAATCCCTTTTTAATTCCTGACAAACATCCAGCACGATAAAAGAACCAGCACACGGATCCACTACTAAATTTCCTTCCTGAGTAGTGGCAGTAATTAGTGTTCTGATCAACTCCCTAGGTTTCTGGTGGGGATGTTTCCTTTGACTAGTCGGTAAACTATTTTCTTCTCACACTGTCCCAAAACTCCGATTAGTAAACTTTTTACCAGTGGTGGGATATTTTTGGAGTAAAAAACAAAATTCAGCATTCGAACGCAGTCAAGTCTCTAACCCCAAAGTATTTTTTTTATACCAGACCAGACAATCAACAATTTTCAATTGTGGTGATTTAATCATCCAGGCTGCAATCCGATCACTGCCTAATAAACCTTTATTAATCCATAATAGGAAAAAACTAGAAGGTTTTAATACCCTACTCACTTGCTCAATTATCCGCATAATTTGATAATCAGATTGGGGATATAAAGGATAATTAGTATGTAAAACATTACTAACTTTTTCATATTGCGGATCGCAAAAGACTAAGTCGACACTATTACTTTCTAAACTAGACAATAATTCCAGGGCTTCGCCACTTTGCTTACTATCTAGTAAATACTTGTTTTTTTTAGGAGTAAGTAAAAGTGAAAACAACTAACCAGAGTAATAAACAATTTATTACTATCTTTTGTTAAGTTTTACAATGTTAGATTAAGTCTTCTTCATTTCTTTTTTTACCTCATGAATAACCAATTACCACCGCCGAAATTCCAAAAACAACTAAACCACCAATTAAAAGCGGAGTATTATTGCTTGGTTGCTTATTATCTGATTTAGTTGGTGAATTACCAGAAATAAGAGTTTGTAAATATTGAGCATTCTGGGTTTGGTTATTATCTCCTTTGGCCACTAATTTCTGAGCATATTCCAACAAGTCCATTAAAATAGTGCCTTTAAAAGAGTTTATTCGGATCTTTTTGTCTTTTATCCCATTTACTAACTTCCCAAACTGTTCGCTAGTCAAATTTTCCAAGTTTTTCGCACTTAATGGATTATTTTCACAATTAAGATATTCCAAATTAGGAAAATTAGTTAGTATTCAAGCTAAATCTATTTCTTTAATCTGATTACCAAAAAAGTTTAGTTTTTTTAATTGTTCTTTATTTGGCAAAGTATCCAAAAAGTCCAAGTTTTCAAATTTGTTATTATAAGAATTAAGACTAGTTAAAGCAGTAAATTCTTTTAAGTCTACATTACCAGATAAATCGCGGTTGCTAATGTCTAAATACTTTATTTTGTCTTTATTAGTAATCAAATTAATTTGTTCTTGGGCATTGTTTGACATATATTTATAGTTTTTAGTTTTTAGTTTTTAACTCATTGGATAACAATTCCTCACCCATAATCAGTCAGAATTATTATCTTCAAATCAGAAAACTAGCAATTATCTCCATAGGGAACTCATTCTCGGCCTTTTTTTCGTCAAGGATGGTCGGTGATAGTGATTTTATTAATGGTCCTTTTTTTAAAAGTAAAGGGGAATGAGCAAGAATAAGTTCATTGTCGTTCTTGGTAAACTGGGCTAAATTTGTCGTCAATTAACTTAAACTGGGCGGGCATGAAGGTTATCTTTTTTCTCTCCTATCATGATTTTTATTTCAGCGAGGGCAAATAATTTACTGGCTACATTCATTAAATAGTCAAGGTTAAATTTACTGATCCGACAAAAAAGAATGTCCTCTAACTCTGTTTGAGTTAAATGTAGTTTGCGTGCCATGGCTTCGTCTGATAAATTATTATCCTCCTGATAACCTAATATTTTCTCACAAAGTTCGTATTTAGTTTTCTCAGCGGCCGTGGCATTACGTGGTAAAGACCATGAACCTTGTCCGATATTTTTGGGGTCTTCCGCTTCTTGGAGAGCCTTTTCAAATTCTTTATCTCTTGGCATGATAGTTATTTTTTAGGTGGTGTTTCTATTTGGGCTTGATGAGAACTTTCTCTCTGCGTAGATGAAGTTCGGTTGGAACTTTCTTCTTGGGGGTCTTGGGAAATATTTAGTTCATCCAAGTTAAAATTATCAAGATTCAGCACTTCCAAAGACTTAGTATGATATTCTTCATTACTTCTTAATTCTCCTAATTGCTGAGTGATTTGTTTAGTATTTATTAGTTTACTATGAGTAACTGCTGACGGATGTATTCTATAAGGTGTGTTTTGGGAGAATTGGTTGTATTCAATTTCTACTTCTTTAAATTGTTGATAAAATTCAGTGCTGTTTCCCCGCCATGCCTCAATTCTTGTTCATACCTCCTTAGTACTTGGTCTTCTTGTTGGTTCAGCATCCCAGCACCTTTTAATCAGATTCTTTAATAAGCGTGGTATCGGAATTTCATCTATGTTAGGTCGTAAACCTTGGCATATCTTTAATCCCAGCAAATTATCATGGGCTAAATCAGGATAAGGATAAGAATTGGCTAATCATTCATAAGCTATTATCCCAAAAGAGTAGATATCACTGGCTTGCGTATAAGGTTGGCCTTGTAAAACTTCGGGGGCTACGTAAGGGAGAACACCAAATATTTGCCCTTCCTCTTTTTTGAAACTAGCAGATTTACTTTGTCCTAAATCAGTAATACAAATAACTCAATTGCTTAACATATTACCAGGATGAAAATCTCGGTGGATTAATCCTTGCTCGTGAACTGAATTAGGGCCTTTAGCAATATCACCTAATTTTCAAAGTTTCAATCTCAATCCAAACTCATTAAGACTCTGTTTTAAATACTGCCTTAAATCGCCTTCTTTGGCATAGTCCATAACCATAATGTAATTACCAGTATTTGGATCTTGAGATATACCAAAACATTCAATAACATATGCACCGCCTTCAGCCAATTTATTATTTACAATTTCGTTTAAAAATTCAAGAGTTATTTTTTGGGAATTGTTTAGGAATTTTAAGGCAATATCTTTAGGTTCTTCATTTTCTTTTATTCATTTAGCTTTATACACCCTACTAAAACCACCATCAGCTAAATGTTCAATGTTATTAAATTGCTCATAAGGTATTCAATTTAAATCTCCACGTGGCTGTTGCTGGATAAATTTTTCGATTACTTCTTTTCCTGATAAATGTTCTATGTCTTTAATTCATTCTTTCTCAGCACAAGTTTGGCATCACTTTTCGCTAGTATTGATTTGCTGACAATTTCGACACCATCCCCAAAAATTAAGTTTTTCTTTTAATTCTTTATGCTCTTCACTATCTTTATTGTCTAAAACTCACTGAGGAGTAAACTTTTTAAAATCTCTTAAATAACTAACAAATCTATAATCCTCAGATGCAACTCCTGCAATTATTCATTCTTTAGTCTGCTCCTTGGTAAAATTTTGTTTTTCTCATTTTTCTTTGAACCTTCCTCAAAAATTTTCAAATTTCTCGTAATGCAATCCACACCACCTCGCGTCATCGGTATTCATAACAAAGAAATTATCTATTTTTTTTCAACTTGTTTTTAATTGTTCCTCTATCTTTTTTACCTCACTTTCTGGTCGTGACTCAGCAAAACATCAAAATCTTTCTAGACTATCAGGTAACTTTGCTACATCTACTTCATTGAGGTCAGTATCATTAATATTAAGGTTTTTTAATTCTTTAATGTGCTTAATAAACTCTTTGTTTATTTTTTCTTTTAATAATTCTTTATCTTTTCATTCTTTAACAATTA